TTCCACATTATTACAAATAACTTCATTTCTGGACATTTATGGTTTGATTTCTTTGTATGTATGGATCACTTGGGTTGTTACCGACATCTGGAGAAAATTTCATGTCATTAGCACCTCTAGTAATATATTTACTGAGAAAAATGGTGACGTGTTAAATACTTATTTTACCCATTGTATAAATCCATTTATATCCATTTCTGTAAATGGATATAAATGTTCCACGTTAAATATCACGTTATCTAGGCTATATACATTTTATATATCCTAGTGAGTGTGTAGAAATGATTTTGTACTTTTTGTTCAACTACAGTCAAACTCTTTCTGGGAAGTGTCATATCTGGTTACATTTTTTTTTAGTTTGGTTGTTTGTTTTAACTATGTGAAAATGTAATGAGCAGAAGTAAAAAGTAGGCTGAAAAATAATAACTTCAGTAAAGTCTACAAAACGAAAATTAAGTGTGGGAACAAAGTATTTGCACTGTTTTACTTGACACCTCTGACAATAAGGAACATTATGACATAAAACACTTTCACAACTTAACTTTTGGCAATGAACAACCAGCTTTAATAATCCTAAACCAAACTCCAATAAGATCTATCAGGAAGCAATATGCAAAAATAAAAGCTGTAAAACATAAAAAGACCCCGACCCACCAGCCATGACYTTTCCTACTTCAAGCAAATTCCACTTAAATATGAGTTCATCCAATTGCAGTCAAGACTCACTTGACATCYTGTAAGCCATTCCTAGAAAGTCTGCTCCTCTGCCTCCTAATTGTAATTTCATAGTAAAGCACCCCTAGCTATGTAAATAAGTGAGCAAGGCATCTGGGAGACCGAGGAGAGGAGCGAGTCAAGAGGAGGGGAGGAAAGGTAAAACTCGCAGCCTTTCAGGAGGAGAAAGCCTCTGTAAGCAGTGGGGTAATCACTGAACCAGGCCAAAACTTTAATTAGTTTGAGAAAGGAGGAGGGGAAAGAAGAAAAAAAAATCAATCCACTTTACAGCTTCCTCTCCTCCCCTCTCCGTTTTCTCACACACATCCGCTCAAACCTTTCTATCTCCCCTGTCTGAGCCCTTCGCTCCAGTTACCTGCCACTGCCTTGATTCATCTCGTTCTCATGCTGCCGCCGTCACCTCCATGTGCTCCCCTCTCGCTCGTCCCTATCCCTCATCCATCTCATGAAAACTGCATAATGGAATTAGGCCCAGATCGCAAGTTCGAACTCATGCATAGTGAGAGAAGGATCCATCAGAAATMACCCCAAATCTCTGACTCTCGCACATTAGGCAGAATATCAAGCTAACAGGAGGCATTACAGGGATGCTGTAATAAAAAAATGTTTTCTTATAATATCCTGTTGGACACATGTGTGTG